CCCCCACCCACCCACCGCAGTCCCCAATACTATATAGTTGTCGTTTGTCAATGACCTGCAATGGTACCAAAGTTTAAAACCATACTGAATTCGTATACGGTCGTATAAACCCAAAAAGGACAATATGGCATCGCATACCTCATGATAAGTAGTAATAATAATGTTATAAGAAAAACGTCTCGAACGGACGAGGCGGCGTACTTAGGCACGCGCGTTTCGGGTAATCGGCGCGGGGCGGAAGCGACTGCTGGCGCGCCCGCCCGACCGGGGACCGGACTTCTATTTTTAGAACTCGCGCGGGGCGCAGTAGCGAGAGCGCTGCTTTTTTTATAATATACAATTTTATTTATACATATATAAATTACATTGCCCGCCGTATAGCCGCACACATATTATATACCTACAAACGAGCGCCAAAGCCCGCACACACACACAAACACAATAATATATTATATACACTATTTACTGAGTTATATTGTGCGTGGCGAGCGGCGATTCTCTCCCTCGGACGGGCTCGATTATCGTCGACCGTTGTCGCGAACGTGCGAGCATTATAACACTGACGATGATAATATTATAATATTTTATAACACCCGGCCCAGACCTTTTAGACCGTTCCGAAAACCGCGATCCGTCTCCTCCGCCTTCGCCCGCGAATACATTATAATAATATACTTTAAACGTTAATACAACTTATATTGATCACGAGTCGTATGTGCGGTGTCCGTCAAATATTGTTATAATATTATTATATACAGTGCATGCGTGTTCGTCTTTGCAGCGTCAAACGTACCAATCTACACGTTAATATAGTCATAATTTATTTAATATTACATCGTACGCCTCCACGAAATGTCGTCGAATCCCATTCGAGGAATCCGGCGAAAAAAATCGTCGCTCACTGAAGTGAAGATAGCTGTTTTGGGGGCTCCAGGCGTCGGCAAAAGCGGTGAGCAGCATCCGTATGTTATATAGATAATATTATGTACATTTCACATACTATCATACACCTGCATTACTTACTTATATATTATGTACATACATAACTCCACATACGGTCTCCAACTTCCATATCACACTGATTCAGTTAGGTTAGGATTCTTCCCACCCACCCAACAAATTTAAGGGTTTGAGTAGTTAAAAAACCTACCAACTCGTCTACTCATCTACATTCCACTATTCCGTCATACACGCCTAGTCGATACCTAATATACCTACCCACCCCCTGACTTGAGTTCCGGCCCTCGGGTCTCAAAAAACTGTCTCCATGCCGAAATCCTATTATTTTCTAGGTTTAACCTAACCTAATCTATCCAATACGAAGCAGTCCCCTTAATAAATATGGTTATTTTAAATATATTTAAGATTATTCATGAACATTTATTAAGAGTAATGTATATTTTTGAGGAGAACTTTTGAACAGCCACATATAGGTATCTACACTTTGAGCAAAATCTGCGCATGTCTATAAACGTATAATACTGACTTGGTAAACAGCTCTCCCAATTCGGTTGCGCATATTGTTATTATTATTATAATGTGTTCATTCTGGACTAGTAAAATACATCTAATACTATTTGTTCGACACGTGCTTTATATATTTTGTCTTGGACGTTGCGTTAATATTAAAATTTGATGTTTTTTTCTTTTTACAAATGGCGTATATCCAAATATCGCATTAAAATTATTGAACACTTTTCCGGGATCAAGTACCTATCAAATTCTAAATTAAAAATTCAACACATTTTTCAGTAGAGTTTTTATTTTTTAGGTATGTTAGATATCGAACGAATAAGTTTTCCTTTTCCAAATCTTAAGAGGATGCCAAGTTTGTTGTCTACGTCTTGCGTACGTATGTGACTTACCAAATTTGTGTTCAACAGTTCCAATTTCGGGGAATAGCCTTTAATAATAAAGAGAGTTGAACTACAATGTATGTACATTATCTGTGCTTTAATATAGGTTTTTTTGGAAATTTTAATTTTAATTTTTATGCAAACTATGAGTACTGAGTATACCTATAGGTAATAGGTACCTGTATAGTGTATAATATATCACAATTTAAAAATTCTCATAGCTCACTTAAAAATTCAAATACCGTTATAACTCATGATGAAGATAATGTTCTTACCTTTGAGTTTTATTATTGATTAATTCACTTTATTATTGAAACTTATAAGACACAAGACTGGAACTGCTAAACACAAATTTGTTATGTCGAATGTGCGTTTGTAGGATGGAAACATAGACAAGTGGGTGTGGCGATCTCTTAACCATAAAATTCAAATCACAAGAAACCACATACTTAATGTAAAAATGTACCCATATGTCTAGGTATAGTCCATTAAACAACCTATACTCATTTTTAATTTATCAAAAGAGTTAATAATAGGAAGTCATGACAAATCATGTTTTCCATAATAATTGACTTAAACTTCGTTAAATAACATAGGTTTAAATCTCTGCTTTAATGAATATTTATGAACGTAGAAGTTGTAACTAGTCTTAACATAAATTAACTGTTTTTTTTCTCTTGCTTTTAGCATTGACCGTGCGGTTTTTAACAAAAAGATATATTGGCGAATATGATCACCAAGCTGGTAAGTTTTAATTTGAAAATTAATGCAAAAATAGAATTACCGCCCAGAAAACTCACGGTTCAATTATTCCGCAGAAAAAAAAATTATAAACTGGTACTAAAATAAAATTAGACTATCTAAATAATTTATAATATTGTGTTTATTTAAATTGTCTTTTTCTGTAATAATTATATGGTACTAAACTTATATGTTACTAATACGAATACTTTGTGAAAACGTTTAAGAATAAAAATAACTTTTGAAGGCCAAACAAAATATTGATGAGATTGCATAGTACACAAAGAAATGAGAATCCTATAATACACAATAAGCTAAGGCCATATAGACTTTAATGTTTCATCTTGCACAAGTTCGCAAATCACAATAATTTATGTACCTACATATGAAATATTGAGAAATAATATCGACATTAAACGATTAAACGGTTAAACACGCACTTCATGTGTTCATAAATAGGCACAGTATACGTCTATACGTGTATCTATATTTGATATTTATGTTATTACTTTAGCTATGTACTTACACTATACTTATTTACAAAGGCGGCGGTCAAGTTAATGAAAACATTCATTTGAGTCAGTTAAATTAAGAACCTTGAGTTAAATGTTAACAAACAATACATTTAACTCTAAAAGTTTAAAATTATAATACAGAAAAAAATATAACTTTATTTATTTATTGTTTTTTTTTTAATACCACCCGGGTTACACATTCACACATGCAGTGACTGTGGAACTTTATATTTTTTGAATAATAACTAAATATTCTATTCTACCCTTCTTATTGGGTTAGGTTAGGTTAGGGTTAGGGTAGCGCACGTTAGGTGTAATGGCTTAGGAAAATACAAGTTCGTGTCAACTAAATTACTATGAATGAATATATTTTATTTGATTATTTGCATGCCTATTTCAAATTATTATAAATGCACAGAGTGATTAAACAAAAAAATAAAATGTATTAATTAGTTTTACTAAGCAGTTTTATAGATATAACATATAATCATAACTTTAATGTCTTATCATATAATTTTTCAAATTAACTTCAAATAGCGCCTATGCGCATAAACATACACTTACAATAACTTACAAGTTATTACCATAAATTATCTTACTACCTAATTAAGTTATTATGTTAATTAGAAAATGAACAAACTAGTTTAGTTAAAAAGTTTACTGAAACATTTTTTTAACATGGGTATACCCACCTTTGGTAATTGTAATTTATAGGTATACAACGAAATACCAAAATACTTTTTATTGATCGATTGAATTCGTTTGCAATATAGAAACGAGGTACAAGCATGAAGTGATGGTGGACAGCGAACCGATTCTTTTCGAGATACTAGACACCTGTCCAAAAGTATGTATAATTATTAAAATATTAAGAGGACGTCGTACCACGCATATGTTGTCCTCATCTTACTACCTAACCCATAGCAAATTCCACGTTTCGCAGAAGAACCAATTGACCATTTAATTCTGTTTTAAGAGTGAATTTAATTATCATAAAATATAAAGGTAAGCGTAAGAATGTTGTTCAAGTCAATTTTACTGTTTCATAATTCTCATAACTTCCTTTAAAATTAAGATATCATAAAAATCGTATGTAGGGTAATGAATACTCTTAGGCACTTACCTATTTATTATACCTTTAAATTTGATGGTATGACAGATTATGACCTTTTAGCTATAACTTAAAAATTATAATTAATACGTATAGTGTATACGTTATTAGTATAACTATAAAATTTGAAAATAAGAATATCATCAAATTAGTCAACTCACTAAAAAAAATTAGTTAAAAATAATTGTGAAATTGGTTCTTCTGAACGTACAATTTGGGTGTTTATTCGTTCATACTTTTTTTGAACATACAAATAGCCAATAAGTAAATATTTTAAAATAAATTGCTGTATGATGGTATCAAAAATAAGTTATTTAATATATTGAAAAGTCCAGGCTAATAACAAAAAAGTAATTTCTTGGATTAACGAATGTTTGATTTCCTATTATGTGTAGTTATCATGAGTAATAATATTGTATTAATTAAAAATAAACGTAACTTGGATTTGAGTTAAAGTAACTTGTTAATTATTAAGTTAATCTTTATATCAATAAAAAATATTTATATATCTACATGAAAAGTTAAGTTGAAAAAATGCTGTTGAAGAAAATCGAAACACTTTTACTGCCAGAAAAGGTAATGACACACACAAAAATTTTTTTTGTTTTTAAACACACATACCTATCATTGTATAATCCATACATTCATTGCTTCACTCAAAGTCCAAAATTAAGTTAGCTCAACTTAAACTTTTTGACATTTTTATGTCCAGTGGGAACAAAATATCTATAAACTAAACACTAAAAGTTGAAACGAGAACATTGAACGTGCTTATAAATACCCAGGCAAGTTGCACTTGTTGGCTGTTAATTATATGTTATAGACACTTTAAGCTTATACCTTTTATATTTAATTCTCTGTTTGATTTACATGCTGCAGAAAACCGATAAAAAATAAATCATAAACATAATAAGTATTAATAATACTAATTATAAACACTATACACCCTCAAACTTGTAAACTTTGTGCCTACAAATATATATATGGATAGAAATACCACAGCGGTATTGAAAACAATGTCTAATTATATACTACAATCGTTGGTGGTTCAACAACTCACTCGTTCGTGTGTACCTACGTGTATTGTTATGTATACATTTTTTTTTTATAGAATGATGAAGAGTTACCTTTGAATGACGTTTACAATTGGGCGGATGCGCTTGTGCTGGTGTTTGCAATAACAGATAGACGTTCCTTCAATTACGTTCGCCGAGTAAAACAAACTATGTTGGACGCTTTTGAAATGCCCGTGGCGCTGGTGGCCAACAAGGCTGATATGGTTCATCTCAGACAAGTCAGCACGGAAGAAGGTACCTAAATAAACCTAGCAAAAAGTGTGCTACTAAGTGTGTATACCTATTATACGGCGGAACATAATTACTTTTTTCCACGGGTATCATCGGTGGCGTCGATGGGGACGTAATTTTCCCCTGTTAAAATGTGCCGTTAGTGTAAAAACATAACTTTTTTATATGAGTTTTTATATGTTTTTATATGAGATCTCATCAAACTTTGTCCTGCCCGCCATTTTCGTACATTTACGTAAACATAGTATTGTCAATTTGAAGAAATATTCATTAAACAATTTAATATAATGATACTAGCAAACTTGTTCACCTAATAGTACTCTAAGTGGCAACACTGTACATTTTAAATACAAGAAAATTCTGATTAATTTGGACCTAGTACTAAATCTCGGCATCTGTCTGGAATCGTTTTCAATGAGATTTTATTTGCGATCTCAAAATCCACGTTTAGATTGACTTTGTTGAGATTTAGAAATATATCTCGTGGCTATTGTAAGTAACATATAGTGAAAAACCCTTTGGTGGTCAACTTGAATATTGCGTAGCTACTATAGGAATTAGAAATTAAGAACTATTGGCTCAAAAATAATTAATATTTATAGTTTTTAAACTTTTAAGTTCGAATATAAAATTATATGTGTACGCAAGATTTAGTGCCTGTATGGTAAATGCGTATTGTTGTGGAAGGGAACTTGAAATTATATCTGCCAATATTATGTAATTTTAAATTATATTATTTACATTATTAACTTTTTCAGTTTATCATTTTAGTAATCACTTATCATGTTTAGTATTTTAAATTAATTTGTTCGATTCGACTTGTCTTCTTCTCTATAGAAAAATCTTAAATGACTCTACTGCAGCAGAGATAGGAACAATATTTATTCAGCTCCCCGTGTGTTTTTTACAATATAATAATTAAGCTATTTATGCCTATAAATACAATTGCCTCCATCTTACATCTATATACTGATGTACTAATCTATAAACAGGTAAAGTTTGTAAGTTTGTGAGTTTGTTTGTGGGAAGTAATCTCTGGAACTACTGGACCGATTTTGAAAATTCATTCACCAGTAGAAAATTACATTATTCCTGAGTAACATAGCCAAAATTTGTCACAACAATAGATTTGAAGATGGTGAAATAGGGGTAAAATAGGAACAAATTGGTGAAGTCATCTGTTGGATTAAGTAAAAACAACAAACTTGGTATAATTTTTTACTTTGATACTTTAGAGTTAAATTATACATTTACGTACACACCTTACAGCTCGCATAATCACAAGCTAGTCTCACTTGCACCGAGCGAGATGTTTATACATTAAAATATAATATGGTCTAAGCTTAAAGAGACACTGTGTCCATTAAAAAGCAGTTGAACAATCACGATCTGGTCAAGGCCAGAGGGGACAACTAGTTTCACATAAATGGAGGATGGATGATATTGTATTAAGAAAAAAAAGTATGATTTAGATTTCGAGTGAAGCAATCGTTCTTTTCAGTTACCTACTTGGGTTGGTCAGAACTTTTACCATCGGGAATGTTTAAAAAAATCAGTTCATCGGAAAAAAATTCAACTTTTAGTTGATCCCTCTGATATTTTGAACAATGAAAACAATACGAATTATATATTTTAATAATATTCAAATAATTGTAACAATTAAATGTTGATATAGCTAAGCAATAATCATTATATTTCTGTGGTGATACAGGCGAAATATTGGCGAAAGATTTCGAATGTTGTTTCACCGAAGTGGCGGCCGCCGAGCAAGTGGGACAGATCGCCGAGGTGTTCCTTGAAGTTTGCAGAGAAGTGTTGAGTGTCCGGCGGAAAAACAAACAATCGTTGCTGGACCGGATGTTGGGCGGAAAGACGGCTGTTGTAAAGGCGTACGCCCGTGGTAAAAGCGACAGCGCTTTGCCAAAAGAATAACTCATTTGACACCGCAAACACTGCAATCTTACGGATTTAGAGTTACAACCACGTGGTATATAATATATAGTATATATATATATATACATAAGTATATGACACATAATATATACAAGGTAATTATTTTTGACGCGGACAATATTTTGGTAGTTAAGTTAAAGGAATTTTCAAAAGTTTGTGGACATACTGTTCTACATTTTCTATAATTTCAGTATTTTTGTCCTCGACATTAGGAAAAAAATTATAATTCCTCACATATAATATTATTGGATTATCCAAATATAATATACTGTCTGGTTCGTGATAAAAGAATTACCCTGTAGTCTGTACCTATGTGTAATATTGTTATTTATTTTGTATACGATAACGAAATATAATATTATGGTCATGGTGTTTATATAATATATTATAGCTGGTGATTTATTTAACGTAGGACATTCATTATTCAAAAAGTATTGATGTTTTTGAAAATATATTTTTTTAATGTTTTCAAATTGTTACTAAATAAGTTTTTATTAAAAAATTTAATATTTTGATATTTTTTATCTTTATTAAGTTTTAAGTTTTTAAGTTTTTTGAATTATAACTTACAGCATTAATTTCATCTCCAAAAGTAGAATATTTTTTTGAGTACTTTGATACATAAAAATCGAATTTAGGATGAGTAATTTATGAGTTATAAGTATTTAAAGTTTAAAATTTAGATGAGCGGATGAGCGGAGTATTGAACCAACATTTTGCAGGATAACCACATACCACACCACTTCGCTCATCTACACCTTAAATACTTATAAGTCATAACCTAAATTCAATTTTTATGTATCGAAATACTTACTTTGAAATTAAAAATTTAAAACTGTATGTTGTCATTCAAAAAAATTTAAAAACTTAAAAATGTTAAGATATTAATAATATATATTTTTTTTTAAATATTGTTTTTTAACGACAAGATTTTTTTTTCTACTTTCTATGCTTTTTGAAATAATGATTATTCAACGATAAAAGAATCACCCGATATATACTTACATCGTATTTTAACCTAACCAAATGTGGATTTCTGCATTGTGAACTACAGAAACTGCAACATACCTATAGTATACAAGTAGGTACATAATATTTGATATAATATATATTATACGCATACTGCAGCTGAATGCAGATTTATTTAAAACAAAACACTCATTTCATATGTTATGTATATACCTCAAGTACATTTTTGTGTATTCGTAAAAAAATGTGTATTTTTTATATAATTTAGCGTACTTACAGCACTTTATTTATTCAAAAAGACATTTATTTATAATTATTATTTTAATATCTGAGAGTGACAAAAAAATTGTCTTTTTATTATATGACTTGAAAATGTAATACATGGTTTAAAAGCCTATGGCATAAATAATAGGCTATGGTTTATACAATTATACCTATATGCAATATATTTAATAAATCGTACATTTAATAGTTTCTTTTTTTTATTTAAATTTATTTAAATATGATTAACCTTATCATAGGATTGTCATCATGTTTTAATTTACTTAAACCTGGACAACCGTTTTTTGTATAATTTTAAAAATTTGATTTTTATAGAAAAAATCGTATCATTAATTGCTCCTAGGTCATCCAGTTTTTACAATACACTTCATTAAACTATTATTTCGTACCTAACTAGAATACCACTCACTGAAATGATCAGCACTTTACACTATACGTTTGTATAAGCCAAAAACTAAATCAGTGTTACAAATCCTAATTATTTACCGACAAGATTATCAATGAGCGATAAGTGATTACAAAAATCAGAGAGTGAGAAAAGGAAAATAATGAACATATTATTATTCATTAATGATTGTCATCATCAAGCCATGAAAATAATGTTGAAATAGATTTTGTCAGTCGACTTGACTATTTTATCTTTTATCTATGCAATATTGTTTTTTTCACTAGAAATGTTTGGTTAAAGACAAAATATTAATATAAGACATAGGTCATTAATTATTTAAATTTGATTCCGGTAAAATTGGCTATCCCGAACTCAAGAAACATTTTTTATTGGAACAACTGGAGGCGATATTCAAAACCCGTTCACCCCCTCTCCAAACCAGGGATTATGGCCACTCTACATCATCAAGAACCTATAGGTATAATTGTAACTTAAAAAGGTAAATTTTTTAAATATGGAAGAACGTATTGTTTTTACTAAACATTTGTAGAAAATATCGTCTATCACTTCAAAGATATTAATAAACAATTATTACCTCTTCAGTTGTAGTAGGTAGGTCGTATATTAGCATAATCAAAACAGCTATGGTTCAAATATTCTTTAAAGCAAGGCTGCAAGTCTGCAAGTTGAGACTTCAATATCACTTATAAGAAGAGGACTTTAAATGTTACAGTTAAATTTGAAAAACATTAGAATAATACATTAGTATACATATATTGATATAAAAATTGAATTATTTCAATATAATGTGCATATTTTGATTACTTATTTTAAATACATTTAACTACTTTCCCCTTTTTAAATCGAATAAAAAGCCAAACAAATATTTTGTTGATTATTCATTGTTATTACTTATTTCAAACACTTCCTAAAACCAAAAAAATATTCATATGGATATGAACTATGAAGTATACAATATACACATATAGTGTAGAGTTGTCATATTTTATTTATTTTATAAGCCGTGACAAACTTTTTTGTATACTTTTCATCGATAAAATATTACTACTCATCCACGGTCAACCACGTGTTTTTAATTTAAACATTCTATTTTTTCGTTACTGGAATACCGCACACAATAATGGTCAACATTCTAGCCATACGTTCAGTGGGGCACTTAGAATATATATGCACCCAGGGGTGAAATAAATTTGATATTCCACTCCCCCCCCCCCCAAAAAAAATAAAAAAAATAACATTACCATGACACAAGAATTATATTTTTAATAAAGTTTTTATGTTTAAGGTACTTTATAAAAATGCATATATATAAGACAAGGACATATTTTATTAAATACACTATATACATTGTACACATTTAATTTATAAATATAATCTTAAGTCTCAATAACAAATATATAATTTCTTCCTTGACTTTTGTAAGGCGAAAACTACAATAATGTCATTGAAATCTAGATTTCTTGTTAAATTAGACTTAATATTGAAAAGTGATCAAGTTATAAAAATATTTAAAAGTTAATAATATTAATAATATTAAATATAATATAATATAATATTATTCAAAAGTTGTTCTCTCTTATGCAAGATCTGAATAATAATCAATAATTAATAATCTCAGTATTCTCGATATTTTTCTTGAAGTACTTTGACATTCTCTCGCACCTCTACTAGTTACTAGTTACTACACTATAGTAATATTGTTGGCAAGCAAACAAAAATTGACACTTTTATGTTTATGAAGACTCATCAATTCATTTTTTGGATTTTCTCAAGCTTTTAATATTTTGTAACTTTGTCCAATTCTACCATATAAGTGGTTTAGTGGTCACATTAAAATCAGTTACAAAACTTTCGTCAGAATCTGGACTAGGTATCATTAATAAATATTATGCATTTCTTGGTACTTATAAATTCTATTCTATATTTTTTAGCAGTTTGCTTTTTTTAATACTCGTATTTTTTATCAGTTCGTAGATCAGTTGACTTGCAAGCCAAGTTTAAAATCTGAACAGCAGCACACGCTGCAGCGACCGCAATGAAACAACAACGATTGTCCTCACAATGCTTATAATACTGTTCCGCAATTTAATATAGTTAACCAGTTACGCGGCATTCGGGGTGACTGGTGATTGGGAGAAATATAAATGTGGATATTTTTAAGGATTCTTAATCCAAAAATAGATTAAAATTATAATGTATTATAGTCATATAGAGTTTATAACGTGTGTTTGGCACCGGCTGTTAAACTGTGGGTTTTGAAAGTTCGCAGAGTTAATAAATGTTTTTTTTTATGTTATTTAATTGGTTTTGATTTTATACGTATTTTGTCATTATTAATACACGCTGGTGTAAAATTAATTTAAGCGGATTGTGGAAATGATGTCTAAATTGTACAGATTCGGTTTTTTTGTAACTGGTGTAAAAATCTCACAAGTAGACTTGTGTTGAATTTTTACGTTTTTTGACCAAGGAACAAAATATGTTCTAAACATATTAAGGTGCATCGAAAAAAACCAAAAATACTGCGATTATATCATGAAAGGAACGATAGCAAGATAGGCAATGTGTACTTGAATTTCTTCTAATTGCTTAATAATTTTCTAATTTTCTTTAGTTTGTTCTATTTGAGAACATGATTTGTCATTTAGAATCTTCGTCAATCTTGCTCGACAATGCTACAATCAGAATTCATTGGTCGGACTTAGTTTCAAAGTTATAACTTCTTAAAGTCCTCGAGTTTTGGTACCCGTTAGGTTTTTTTTGTTTAAAACTAAATTAGTGAATTAACAATAACATAAAATGCATATACGATAAGACATTTTTGATTCCACCAAAATGTAGTTACCAGAAATTTGCAAAAAAAAATGTTTTTTATTTCTTTTCATAATATTTAATATTTTTTACAGAAACTGCCTACTACCTACTAATCAATACTATCTATTTATTATTTTTATTATAATTATTAATTTTAAATATCTAGTCATTAATTATATTCAACTATGCATTTCAACTGTTCAAAATTTGAGAAAATGTTTCTAAAAAAAGTTTTTCTATTTAATCAAGAATAATCCAAATCGTGACTAGGAATCAATCAATTTTGACTCAAAGAGAAAACATGTAAATGCATAGAAATCCTACCCCAATAGTTATAACAATTAGTAATTGTTATTGGTTTGTTATTTCTGTTACACTTACTGTATGGTAACGATATAATACACAAGTCATATTGCTATACATGAATCAAACCGACACAATTAAATTGAATAAGTATCACTGATATATGTGAGTTCTTTAATCTTTTTAGGTGTTTCCTGTTCACTTTTTGTGACTCGTGTAGAATTTTAGATGTCTCGACGTGCTTCATGCAATTCCGTCTGACTGTTGTATTGTACATAATTTATTATTATATATATATTGTACTCGCCTTTGTATCCACCCAAACTTTATACCCACAAGACCATACATGAATAATATTAGAAATTAATAATTCAGGTTTAGAAATATTCTCACACATTAAAACAGTAGGTATACAAAGTGATTTTTTTTAAAATAAAATTCTCGTTTTCTTGAAAAGTATTTACGTTTTTGAAATATTCCTGTTTTACATAAAAATAATTTTGAACATTTAAACTCGTGTTATTCTTACCAAACAACATATATACATATTTATTTTATGCTTATATTTCATCGTTAGAAATTATATATATTTTAGATTAGTTGGTTACAGTATAAACTATTTATGAGAATCCTTGTTATAAATTTTTTATCTTAACCCATAAAAATTGACAAAAGACGATAAGAGAAAATGAATAATATTTGAGAGAAAAATATTCTGGAATATCTAGATGGACCAAGGTTCAACCAAGAAACAAATACTTATGGCAGAAGAAGAAACGAGGAATTTCAGAAATTGTGCAACAGACCAAATATCTTAGCGTTTATTAGAAATAAACGACTAGAGTGGTTGGGAGTTTCGGACACACTTGGAGAGCAGACGGGAATTAAATGCCTTTATTGAATTATTTACCCTCAATCGGTCATAATATTGTTATCAACAATTTATAAATATGTGTTATTAGAATAAAATACGACGATTTTTGACTGAATAATATTGCAATACATTTACACAAGATACCATAAAATATTAAATTTAAATAATACAGCCAACCGGAGGGGGCAGTCGCCCTTACCGCCCCCGACTGGATCCGTGCTTGTCGGTGGATCGATGTAATAACCAAAGACTTGAAACAGATAGACCAGAATATAACCTTTGTATCAGCGTACAACAGAGATGGTTTGAGAGACCTTTTAAAGGCAGCAATGGTTCTTAACGGACCAGTAATCTGAAAAAAAGATGAAAAGCTATAACAATTAAGAATTTTAAATTTTTTAACTACAAAATAATTGGAGCATTTTCGACATTTTGATAAATGTTGTCAAAGTTTGAACTTTAAATATTTATAAAAAAAATCATGCCTGTATAGATCTTAATAATTTCTCAACTGCTATTATAACTTTTTTTTTGTTAAATGTAAGGAAACTAAAGGGTAATATTTTATTCAATTTTAAAATCTTAGTAATAAATAGAACATTTTTTATGAATCTATAACTAAATAATTTGTCAATTTCGTGATTTTTATGAATTGTATGAAAATTTCAACTTCAGATGCCCATAAAAAAATATTTAGGATTTACACTCAACATTTAAAATTTTTGTTTAAGCTATTGTTCCTATTTGTCGTTCATATTATTAAATAACTATGATAAAAACTTAAGTCTAATGTATTAAGCTTTTAAGCTTTTTGACCGGAAGAATAATTTTTATCGACGTTATTAGAAAAAAAACTTAAATTAATTAAAACAATCTAAGCGTAGACGGTCTAATCAAGGTAACCAATAGTCTGAAATTATTAGAACCTGGAAAAAAATAAAAATAAAATCGTAATTATTAATTGTTCAAGTCCCCCCGCCCCAATTGAAATATCCTCTACTATAGTCTGATTGAGTATTGGACATTGGTGATATATTGATGTATTTCGCAGTACCTACCTGGTTAGTGGTGGTTAACACCGAGAAGATTTTTATCCAATTATTATATTTTCAACTAGATACAACTATAGGGTGAATCGCGGGAAAAAAGCCTAAAAAAAAATTAAATTCAAACGTGAACCCATGTATATTGTACACCTAATTAGTAATTACCGTGTGGTGTGTTTCTATAACAAAATATAATATATTATAATGAAAATAATATCATAAATTATTATTACGAGTATGTGAACGTTTTGTATAAATGTTGTATATATTATTATATACCTAAGATGTTATATACTTATACACCTTATTTTTTTTACCTTTAACTTAACACTGTATATACCTAATTGTATAGATGAGTTCATATTTATATTTAAATTTTTTATTTATAATTAACAGTTGGGCATAATAAGCCATATTCAGACATAAAATTATTTATATTTGAAATTTTTCATTGAATAAATAGGTGAAAAAAAATTCTTATTGAGTTCATGCATATAACATTTCCTATAATGGCTAAAATAATTTAGGAATTATTAATCACTAATTAAGAGTAGAGTATAGGTACATGTGTTCATAATTATATTTGATTTTTTTCTGGGCTTTTTTTCCGCCTACCAGTTAGGGTAGTTTAAGGGTTATTGCAGACGGGTGGTGGGTCCTTAGAACTTAGAAGTATCCTCAGCAGACAGAAACACATAATATTATTTTAAGGATAGTCACCATTGAAACACTGCATACGAGTATTACAATATGCACATAATATATTTCTATATTATTTTCTTTATTATGTCTATGATTTACAACAATAATACAACAATAAATACTAACATCTCCATAATTCTCTATAATATAGTATCTATAGTATCTTCACCGGTGCCGCCGTGGTCGTGCGCTGTTAATCGTCTATGATGCGGCTGATAGTGGGCACAAATCAGTTTCTGAGTTTCGTACGCGATAAAGAAAGATGATAAAAAAAGGCATCCAAATTTTAAATTTTAAATTCCAATAGAAGTTATGTAGTCGTTATTCGTCGTCGTCGTCATCGTATCGATATAATAATTGTAGTCGTAGTTGTCCCCGATCGTTTTCTCCCAAAATCCTTACGACGCGTCGTATATGCAGTAGTCATCGTTTTAATTATCTATTAACAATATTATTAATAATCACCACCAGCACCATAGTCCATATAAGCACAACGACGACCTGAAATGACTGTCCAAAAATCGTCAATTTGCGGTCTACCGCCAAAACGTGAGCGATGAACTACCTGTACAACCCTCCAGGCGGCACAAAAAGCGACTGCGATGGACGACAACGATCAAGTGATTTTTTACCCGAACCAAGGAGTAGATCCTCACAACCGATGCTGCGGTGGTTCCATGTGGTGCATTCAGGTAACAATAATATAGGTAGTCAATCTTCTTGTATTTGTGCTCATACTATTTGTTTTTCCAGGACATATGTGGTATTATTTGTGCGATATTCACGTGGCTGTTAATACTGTATGCTGAGTTTGTGGTGACTTTCGTTACACTATTGCCATGTCCGTATCCCATATTTCAATGTGTCAACATGGTGATTTTTCAAATTTTTGCCTTTCTTGCGATGGCTTCCCATCTGCGCACAATGTTCACAGATCCAGTACGTTAACATCAACTCATTATACTTTTTATATGTTATGATATGTACATAGTTTAATTGAAGTTACAAATAGGTAGAAACTAAATTAAGTGCTTTTTGTAATTTAATGGTGTACTTACTTGTATTTATTCAATGCATATTTTATTTTATTAGCTAGTCAGCATTATTACATGCATTAACCTAACTTAAGATACTTTTAGTTTAGTAGGTCAGGAAATAATTTGTATCAAAATGCATGGTCATCAAGTTTTTCTTTATCATTAAGATATATTAAAGTTGGAATTTTATTTTTTGCCAACACATAAAGAATATAATTACATGCTATATTAACACTATACAGTTTTTTTTTATTATTATTTTAGATATGTTTAATTACATACATTTTATCACTTTATTCATATCAACTATCGATATTGAACTTGTAATACTATGCTCTGAATAATTTAATTAAATCTTATTATTGAAATGTGCAGGGTGCAGTGCCAAAAGGAAATGCTACAAAAGAAATGATACAACATTTAGGTTTACGCGAGGGTCAAGTGATATATAAGTGTCCAAAATGCTGTTGTATTAAACCTTCAAGAGCCCATCACTGTTCTGTTTGCCAAAGGTCCATAAAATAATTTTTAATACATCAAATAACTTGTCCATAATCAAACAACTGTATTATTACCTCTTAGGTGTATTAGAAAAATGGACCATCATTGTCCATGGGTCAACAATTGTGTTGGAGAGAAAAACCAAAAGTTTTTTGTATTATTTACGGTACCTATATTATATATTCACTTTTTAATATTCAGTGTACACAATCAATATTTTAACATTCTAAAATTGTATTCTTTAGCTTTATATTGCAGCTATGTCAATACACGCATTATACTTGTGTGTCAGCCAATTTGTTTGGTGTCTACATTCCGAATGGAAGCAATGTTCTTGGTATACACCTCCTGCAACGGTAGTTTTTCTGATATTTTTAGGTTTTGAAGCATTACTATTTGCAATATTCACCATGGTAATGTTTGCAACTCAACTACAAGCCATATGCTCTGATGAAACGGTAATTATGTCACTAGTTTATAATCTACTAAAATTGTGTTTAATGAATTAATTCTGTTTTTTATCATTAATAATATATAAACAGTTTTTTTTACTTTAATTAGAATAATCTTTAAATGGATTTTGATGTTTTCATTAAGTTTGGATGTAAAAAATTTCGTTTTGCAATAAAACATAATAATTAATAATATCTTTACTTGTAACTAACAAGTGACTAGTTGTTGATATAAGTGTATAACAATATCTTTATAAAAAAATTAATTATATACATTTCAAATGGAAATGATGTTTAATGTTCATGTGATACAAAATTTATTTTATATTTTAATTTTCAAATATTTGATTTACACTCGTTCGCGTTATTTAGTTGTGTGAAAGTTGGTTTATTAAATTAACATAAAAAATTAACAATAATATTAATGTCTTATAATCATTCTAGGGTATTGAACAATTAAAAAAGGAAGAAGCTCGGTGGATGAAAAAATCTAAATGGAAGAGCTTACAAGCTGTATTTGGCAGGGTGTCCATAACTTGGCTTTCACCTTTTTCACGGCCAGCTCCTAAGATCAAAGTAGATAATTATCTACAGGTCTAAAGATATGAACAGTATTTACATATTTTTAAAGTTAACCTCTCGTACCTAATAATATTAATAATTCTACATTAAAATAATCTTGTTATTTTAAAATAAATTTATAATACTTTAAATTTAAAAATTATGACTGTTTCAAATATAAGACAATGATTCTTTTATTAAGAGAGGATCTGAATAATAAGTTTAATTATTTTATGAACTTCAGTTGCTTTTTTATTATTGTTAAATCCTTGCTACAATACACTCAGTAATTAGTTAATTTGTTACTTTAAAGTTTATATATATATATTATATTTATTTGAATTATTATATTTTGCTGCTTTTTCTTACTATTTGTTTACCATTATTATTATTATTGACGAACAATACATTAATACTAGTTTTAAATACATATTATGTACATAAATTATTTATCAAAATTGAAACGCCTTTTCCCATCAAATCTGTATCCGTAAGCGGGAGAATTTTTAGCATCTACAAGAGCTGGGTTTCTGTACTTGTAAAATGATCCATGACCATGAGGTGATCTAGAAGCTCCGTTGCTCACTCCATACGCTTCTCTTGGATAAAAAGCTTCAAATTTTGCACCCAATACAGACATTATTCCCCACAAAGCTAGATATAGAAGAATCTGTAACTGAAGAATATGTGAGAATAATCAATAATGTATTTGATTGTTGCAATATTAAAATAATAATAATAATAATATAAGAATAGTAAAAAACTATTTAATTATCTTACCTTCATGTTTGTGGTTAATTAAAAAGTTTGTATACAATAAATGAAAATCAACAAAGTCAACTAATCAAACTTTATTAGTTTCATTCCATGGTAAGTAACAGGTATAATAATATGAGCCCACATTAACATTTTATAATCATAAAAACATTGTGTCATAACATCTTGATTGGTTACCAACTTTCTCTTGACCATGAACACTATATGTGATAGTAGCATGCCTATTGCTCTAATGTCAAATTAGGTTTATTTAAATAATTTATCATTTAGAAAAAGAATTCAATAAAATATCAAAATGCATAATTATAAAAATATATTTTTTGTCATTACAAAATAATTTTTATTTTCTATATTATAATTATAACAGTTTCTAAAACAGAAAACAACTCGGATTTATTTTGTTGACAAATATTTAAAGTGTATTATTATAATAAATTATAAATTTAAAAACATATCACAGTTCGTAGCTCTATCAAATTGATTGTAAATTCCTGGTTAAATCTGAAAAATTAAAGTGTTTCATTAATCAATGAACAGAAACTATTATTTGTTTAAAATATTTAATTAATAGTATATTGTATCAATTTACTTTCGACGATATTTTTAATAGCCACAACTGTTGGTGATCTAGCATATTTTTGAATAAAGTTGACACCTTCATCACAACATTGTCCTAACGAAGGATCTAACGGGACTGATCCAAGGAATGGAACACCCATTTCATGAGACATCTGAGCAGCACCCCCAGTGTTTCTTGGAAATATTTCAGATGTCACTTTACATTTAGGACAAACAAAAGCAGACATATTTTCAACCACACCCAATACAGGTAATCCAACTTTTCTGGCAAAATCCAATTCTTTGCGGACATCTAATAAAGACACTTCTTGAGGAGTGGTTACGACCACTGCTGAAAAGTTATCAGTTGATTTAAGGAATTGTACTAATGAAAGGTGTTCATCAGAAGTTCCCGGTGGAGTATCAACAATCAAATAATCCAATGTGTCACCCCAATCAACTTCAGTTAAAAATTGTTTGATCATAGCTAGAATAAAATTTATGGAAATAAAATAAACTAGAAGTAATATTTTTAAATGTCATCATGAAGTAAAAAATATAAAAATCACCATTTTTCTTGGGACCTCTCCAAATTACAGCGTCATCCTTACTTTCTAGCAAAAATCCAACAGACATGATTGATAAATTTTCTTCAACAAACTAAAATGATAATATAAAATAAAATATGTTTCAATTAATTTAAATTTAAATAAACACTTTTTGAACTAATAAATATTTATACTATTGTTCTTACCACAGGAGACCATCCTGATCCACTTTGATGTATCTAGAAATGAAACAAATTGATTGAAAATTGTTTACAAATTTTTAATAAAAAAAGTACAAACATTTTCATCTTGAACACCAAACATAAGAGGAAGTGATGGTCCACAAATATCAACATCTAAGACTCCAATCTAAACATTCAGAAATAATTTGAAACAAATAAGTTATCAGATTGTTTACAACAAAGTATTATAAAAAAATAAAAATATCATTTACATTTTTCTGTTCATTTTCGTTAGCCAATACTCTAGCTAATAACGATGTGAATGTACTTTTGCCCACACCACCTTTCCCAGACAGTACTAGTATTTTATATTTCACTGAAGACAGTCGATGTTTTAACACATCTAAAGCTACATAACCAAGAAAAAAAAATGTAAAATTTGCATTAATACAAAAATATACAACGTAAAATTTATTTTTACTTGCCTGGGTCAGGAAGTTGAGTTATACCAGATGCACAAATATTTTGGTTTGGACATCCTTGACATGCAGATACTAGACCGGCAGATGAGCTATCAGTGCCTGGGCAATCTAAAAATGTCAAAGCATATAAATTATAAACAATAGATGAATAGGTAGTTTCCATTTGATATTCAAGAATATATACGAAATAATAAACTAAAGTATGTTATTAATTATCATCAAACAGCTATATAACAAACACAACACAACAGTTACACTAGAACTTACGATTTGGAATATTAGGATCCATTAATTATTTTCAGAAATTCGTTATTTATAACATTTGAATTAAAAGAATCGAATGACAAATCCGGCTCAGAGACAAGTATTACTCTAAGTATTTAGAGCAGTGTATTGTGTAATATTGTCGTTAGCTGTCGTACTGGTAAATTAATCAAAATTATGAAATATGAATAAATCGTTATCTCGGTGGTCGATGATATCTCATTTTACTCTCTAATCAGTCCCCTGTAACGTGATAAAACCACAGAATAATACGATAATAGCTACGATAATAGCACAGAAAAACTATTCTGTGATAATAGCATGCACAGTCAGTACAGCCACAGAATAACAACTATCGAAATGTTCGATCCCAAGTAGTTTGATTGAGTATTTTATAGCGTTCTAATAGATATAAGTATTAAGCTGACAACAATTTTTCAAAAATACCTGTCAAAAGAATTTATTTGTACGAATTTCTACTGTTGCGCACGAATTGGTACTGAATTGAAATGGCAGTATTATGTGAGGAGCCGCCAGAGGTAAGACAATGATTTACTCATTTGTTTATTTTGGTCAATGATTTGTGTAGACCTCATTTGTAAATATTAATTATTTAATACTGCATATTATATTACGTACCTAACCATTGTCAGATATTAGCTGACAGAACTGGACTAGGTCTAAGCTTTGTTGTAAGGACAAGGATAAAAGCAATTAATGCATAATAATATCTGCGGCATCATTTGAGGGGATGGGACAAGGTGGGTATTTGCCCTCTGATTTTAAAAGCAGCCCAATGTTCTGGTGCTCAGGTTGTTGCTGTTTTTCCATTTTTGGTGAAAATAACATGGCTAATTTTATATTTTGAAAAAATATTTTAGGTATTGTGTGGGTACCAGGAAATTATTGTCACAATGATAAATTGGTTATTTACTTATTAGTTATTGTCTAGGTTATGGGAATGTACATTGAAACTAGTCTGTATGTGTGTGTGTGTTATGTACATGTGAAGGGAAAGCAACATATTATTATTGTAAATATAACAAAAATAATAATTTCATAATCCCATGTATCTAATATGTAATTTCTAAAATCTTCTACAATTCCTAAAAACAACAATCACTAACCATCCTTGTGTATCATTAATTTCAGTTATTTTGTGGCAATCATGTAGTATTAATGTCTACCTATTGCAGTGGTTCTTAAGCTATGGTCTGCTGGAACCACTGGTCTATTGTGTTAACTTTAGTTTAATGTATTATAATACAATTTGTTCGGTGTGTTTGCTTTTATTTTTGAAATGGGCAAATAGTTTTTTTTTAAGTAATAGATGGTATGGCCCAAGACAAATGAGCAAAAAATGTAATTAGGTACTTCAAGCCACTAGGTTCACAACAAATTTGAAGTATGTTTAGAAAAAACTAACAAAACTTGAACCAGTAAGCGAGCAATAACAAATAACATATTATAACTTAATATATTGTGTAAATGTTTTCTTATCGTAAATAGTAAAATTCTTTTACATCTAACAATGGAAAATTTAGTGCTGATTTGCAGGTTTATTAAAGTTGAAAGTGATATTTTAGGTAAAACAGATTTAGATGAAGTGGATATATTTTCAAAAATAAAAAAAGATGAGTAGTGATAGCTTAAAATGTCTTGTTATTTAATTAAAATGTTCCATAGTTAATAAGTTTTTAATTTGTACCTAGATGCAATATGTTTAATAAATATCTGCTAGGTACTTTATATTTGCAATTAGTAAATTATGTTATTAGTTAATAAAAAAGGGTTTAACTGTAAAAATAAGGTAAAAAAATATCCAAATTATAAAATATGTAATATGGTAATGCAAAATTTAAGTATAAATTTACCTGTAAGTGAAACGGGTAGTTTAAGTTACCTATTTGGGCTGATCCAAACGTTTTTCCCTGTACCAAATTTAACATTATTAATTTATTTATTATACGAGATAAATGCCAAGGCATAATAAAAAGGTAAAAATAAAAATATTTTAATTATTAAATAATGTTTACACATATTATTGACATGTATACTGTCTTGTATCTTTAGTTGTCATTTGACAGCAAACTAAATTTAAACAAATAAAACACAAAAAGGACATTTGACCAAACCTAACCATTACTTGAAAAAAATATTCATCAACTAAGTGTTATTAACTATATCTAATAATTATATTATTATAATATTATTCTAATTTATAATATTGCAGTGTGACTCATGTAGTACCAGAGTAACAAATTATACCCCAGAATTTGTTAAACAACTAACCAATGAATTTAGCAAATTAAAAGATTTTCAAATATTTTTAATGAAATACAATGAAAATCCTGATTTGGTTAATGATTTGTGTGAGAAGTGTCGAATCACGAAATGGCGAAACTTAAAACACACAAATTACAGTGAGTATATTATTATTTATTAATAATGCTATTAATTGTGATGTACATTTTACTCACATTTTGACTTTACAGAATAAATTTGTAAGTAAAATACAAGATACAAAATAAATTTACCCTAAGTATTTTTTAAGAACATTTTTCCATCCCAAAATAATTATTCTATTAACCCATGGATCCATGTTTACTAAAAATATGCACAGCGTATAGCCAAAAACTGAAAGCGTTATTCTGAGAATTTTAACACTCAAATTTTTGCAAAGGAGGAGTCATAACTCTTAAGTTATATCTTATATTATAATTAAGTCTTAATGCAGTAATTTGACGCGAGCTATTTTTTTTTTTAGATCCAGCTAGACAACAGAACCGGACTGCAGATAATCTGATGAAAAGCTTGTTTTCTTTTAAGTCCGGTTTAATAATTGCAGCACTGCTGGTAGGAGTCCTATCAAAAGAGTGTTATAATTTTTACGCTATTACTGGCACTAACACAAATGGTCTCAGTGAAGATAAATTGAAGTCCACGATGATGTCACTAAAAAATCATTTTCCGTCGCTGCAGCAGAGCATGATAAAAAAACTAGGTGGCGCTTTTTCGCGGCTTCGAAGTCCTGGTGAACCAATTGTTTTCATGCTTTTACATAACGACGCCAACAAACAGACTACTGACTGCTTAGCGTCCTACGCAAGTATATCGGCCAAACAACATATATTCACCAACTCCAAAGACGGCTTGTGGTTGAATGGGTCAGAGTGGACTAGTTATTCTGACATTGATTCTGAAGACTTGCTGTACGAAAAGGTATATATAAATATTAATAGCATGCAGAAAAAGTCACAGTAAACGATATAAAATTCATATTGGCCATTAATGAATAACAGCCCTTAAATCCAATTTCATGTTCACTACGGCTATACCTAGATAGTAAAAACTAAATAAATAGCATAAATTATGTAACTACCAACAAATTTCATTTTTTTTTTAAATTGCAATTCAGGCTTGACTTTTTTTCGATTTGAACTTAAGTTTGTTTTAAAATAATACTGAGAGACAAAAGTTACTGCATTTTTCAAACGGCATTTTTTCCCTCTTTGGCATCATAATAAAGTCAATTTTTAAATTAAACAGTTTTAGACCATGAAACATTTTGAAGTAAATTGCTTGAACAAAAAATTTAAAAAACCGATTGTAAACCTAACTAATATCAATCTTCATGATTTTGTTTTTCGATTTTTCTTGCGTTTTGTTTACTATAAACATGTTGAAAAGTTTATTTTTTAATTAAATTCGGTAGGTAGAGGGGGTTGGGTTGAGATTAAACGAAATGATTATCAAACTATATTCACCCCTTATTCCATATTTAAACCAAAGATTTCTGGATTTATTTAAATTCACGATTGTCTAGTATCCAGCTGTATTGTTTTATTGATTTCCACTCATTTCAGCTGAATGCTCCACTTGAGAAGAACGAAGTGCTGGTGCTGGAAAACTTGCAAGACTTGCCGTGGTCTCTGGCCAAGTCGCTGCACCACCTGTGCGACTCAGAAAATCCGAAAATCGCTAAAGCCATGTACATGCTGGAACTCAGGGTAAATAGGGACCTGCAACAGCTGTCTGAAAGTGACAAACTAGTAGCAGCCGAGCAGGCCATGAACATTGCATGGCAAGATGCACCAAACGAGTTTAGGGCGCCACTAATCGCCCGGCTAACGTCATTCGTAGACACCGTACAGTGGGAATCAGACGAGGCATGTCTTGGAGGTTCATTCATCAGGATTTCACCATGAATATCTTCTCTTGCTCCAATGCAGCCTCCATATTATAGACTGTCAAGTAATTAACTTGTCTGCTGCGGCTGGGCGCATATATAATGATAATATTATTCCATCTGAATCTTTATTTTTTTATCACTATTTTTCTACCCACACCTCGTCCAATGGGACACAGTTTCTTTTACTCTATTATATATTATGTTTATAATTGTAATACCTATCTATAATTATTATACTAATGGTATGTATTGTTATGTATACTGCCTACCTAAATTAAATGACTTATTATATTATGCGTTAATAATAAATACAATAATTCTATGAAAATTACAAGACTGTGCTTATAATTGATTTTATATGATTGTATTTGATTGATAATAAAATTTTTATAATATTTTTGACTAGGAAAATATGTCTTCCCAATCTATTAACGGATTAATTAAAATTAGGCTAGTACATAGGTGGTGAATAATATTTACATTTTACCTGATATAAATTCTCAATTCAATATTTTAATATGCAGTAGGTATAATTATATGGAACTTTAACCATTGTCCATTATTTAAGTATTACAAGAAGGGTAGTGGTTGTTGGCTCACTGTCAACTGGCTGGTGGGAAAACTTTGGTCATTGTTGAGGTAAAGATATTATAAGGTCGTATAATTGTTTGTCAAATACTTGTTATATTATATAAATTACGATTTATGCAACAAATCAATCAATAATTACTGTTTTAAAACTAACAATAATATTTAACTGATCGTCAGTGATTGATAACGAATGATAAAATACTGATTCCGTAACCTGGGCGGTATTAAAGTATTTAAACTTTAGAGAGTCTTGATATGACCATAGTCTATAATTGTCTATAACTCCATTGTGATTCTAAAGGATAAAGGTGGATATCTGTTTTGCTACAGTTGAATTTGGAAGTATACTTATACCTATAAAATTTAACTTATAACTACTACAAACACAAATACAATGACCAATTTTATGATTCTCAACATTCCACGTCATAATTTTGGACGTACTCTTTATGTAATCTCTAAAAACCTCGAAACAGATTCAATGAATGCTTATAAGCCTATGTAATTAATAAATACAATATATTAAAGCGTTTACTTTACATCAAAAATATGTCCAGAGTTAAGAAGGCAAATAATCTACTACTAAGTAGTGGCGTAGCCGGAATTTTTCTTTTTTTCCTGACGGGGGAGGGGGGAGGCTGATAATCTGTTTACACAGAATCATGTTAGGATCTTCCATAAGTTAAGCATGCAGATGCTAATGTTTACTGCTCCACTGAATATAAGTAGTCATTGTAATTGTGTTCAATTATTATGAGAGCTATGTTTATATATTTGTCAAAAAGTGTATATTATGCCATATTTCAACTATATATTTTACAATAGTAATATAATCCGTAACTAATGAGTAATGGCAACCATTTATGTAAGCTTAAAAATATTTGATTTTCGTAAGCCAAAGACCAAAAACCTATGAGGTTGATTAAATAAGCGGTAAGCGCGTTCCAAGTCTCGAGTAATCGATTGATTTAACTTTTATTGAAAACGGTCCTGTAGTTTTGAATCTTTAGAGGACGAACAAAATATTCATTTTTTATACACATGATAGGTTAAAAAAATTTCTAGTATGATAAAAAAATCATGGAAATCGCTCTGTTGTATACGGTATCGAGTGTACCAGTACCACATCAATGATTTGAATGTGTCAAATTTTAATTCCATGATAAATCATTGCGTATACGTAGGATTAACGATTCTGAGCGGACTGCCAGTGGCGCAACTAGGGGGGTGCAAAAAGGTCTTTAGCACCCCCTGTTTTTTATATCTAACTTTTATTATTTTATTGAAATACCATGAATGTTATGTTTTTAAATATTATGATAAATTTCCTGAAAAAATATTTTATTATTTGGTCGTAAGTCTTAATGTCTTATAATATAATTCATTCTAATTCATTCCATACACGGATATTCCCATAATAATAAAGCAAATAATAAAACTGGTTAAAAACAAGTATGCTTCAGCAAAGGTTTACCAATTTATCTTTGCTGAATATTGAAAAAGATTTATTAAATCAGCTTAACACTGAAACTATTTTAAATAAATATTGTATGAAACCTAGAAAAATTATGCTAATTTAAAATGTATTATATATATATA